GAAGGAGGAAAGGGGAAGGGGGAAGGAGGAAGGAGGAAGGAGGAAGGAGGAAGGAGGAAGGAGGAAGGAGGAAGGAGGAAGGAGGAAGGAGGAAGGAGGAAGGAGGAGGAGGAGGAGGAAGAAAGGGCCGTAGCGCCCGATACATTCTCCAGTGCCGCTGGATCTCTGAGATTCAAGCTTCACTGCCGGCGCTCAAACGGGAGTCGTGGGGGAGGGGGAAGGCTTCGTGGAAGCATCCTGCTTCTCAGACGGCGCGGGCCGTAGCTACAGATGTAGTGCCCGCGCCTTCTAGGAAGCCGACTCCTTCTGAGACGCCTTCCTCCCTCCCCCTACCCCCCTCTGCGCGCAGCCAAAGGCATACCCGTCCGAAGTTGTCCTCGCCCTGTCTTCGCCTTCATGCTTGCCTCTCGGAGGAGGAAGCAGCGGGGAGCCCGCACGCGGCGGGGCAGTGGCGCACGGGCGCGGAGGCACCGGCGACCGCCACCGAGGCAGCGGCGGCGGCGCCCAACAGTTGGGGTTGCTCGGAGTTGCCCCAGATCCGTCGCGCGCAGAGGGGGGCAGGGTGGTGGGGGGAGGGTTATGTCGGGCGCGTCCCCCATACAGCAGGATTTTCGATGAAAAATTAGCAATACCCCAAAAATGTTCCAAAAAGGCCAAAACATGTTTTTTAAACAAAAAAATAGTCCCCTGAATATGTTTGGGGTATTTTTTAAAAATCATTTTTGATATATTTTTTCCTCGAAAATCCCCCTGTAGGGGGACAGGCCCGACTTCAGGGTAGGGCTTCTCAGACGCACCCCTGCTTCTGAGAAGGCGCGGGCCACATCTGTGGATGTAGGGCCGGCGCCTTCTGAGAAGCAGCCTCCCTCTGAGCAGCTTTCCCCCCCTCCCTCCACGTCCTCGTGCGCGCCGCCCGTCCGACGCTATGATTTTTTCAGCCCGCGGTTGTCACTTAATTTTGGCATCTGAGGGCTCATTTCGGGCCTCGCGGGGCCTTGCAAAATGGATCTGGGAGGGACAACTACCCCTGGAAGCGGTCGGGACCTCGGGGGCAGCGGATTGAACACATCGGATCGTCGGATGTCAGGAGTAACGTTCAATCTTCAAGATTTACGGAGTTCTAATCAATTTTCTGCGGTTTTCCAGCCTCGGGATGCGTACCAGCAGCTGCGTCTCGCCGAGAGCGTTCCGGGGGTGCGCAGACCCTCCGGAACGGCCGCGGGATGTCCCAGTTAGGACCCAAAAATTGGACGACGAGGATTATTGGGGGGGGGATCGGCGAGAGGGGATGGCCTTCTACGAAGGCTGATTATCGAAGAGCCAACAATAATGGGATCAGCCTGATTTCTTCGAGGTCCACCTGGATTTCCTGATCGGCGTTGGGCCCCCCTGGCCGCGCACCTGGCTCGCTCCGCGCGCCGTGGCAGGGGGGTCCAGCGCCGATCCAAGAAATCCTCGTGGACCTTTGCAAGATACAGCGTGCTGCTGTTTCTCTGCAGCCGGCGGAGGGGCCTCTCAGAAGGCAGCCCGCCTTCTCCGAGAGAGCCCTGGAGGCTTCCAGGAAAGCTTCTCAGACGGCGGGCGGGCTTCGAGGAAGCCCCCCCCCCCGAGTTACCTTCTCGGAGGCCCCCCCCCCTCCTTCTGAGAAGGCCGCCCCCCGCTCCTCGCGCCCCCCCCCCCCTGTGGGCGCCGCCGAGCTGCACGTGCCCTGAGATCCGACGCCGCGAAGAGACCGTGATGCCTCGCCCCCCCCCCATTCCCGAGACCCCCGACCCCAGCGGTGAGGCCGCTCGGAGGTGGGGGGACACTTCTGGGGTGAAGCTGGGCAGGGCCCTCTACAGGAGGCATGTCCAACAATAGCCCAAAGGTGCACTGCTGGGGCGATTTTTTTCTATATATATATATATATATATATAACCGTTTTTGACTATAGTGGATTCTGTTCCGACTACTTTTCATTTTCTTCCCAAATCCGCCTGTAGGAGGACATGCCCGACCGAATTTTCTGGGAGACGCCCAGGGGGGGGCTAATCGGACGCATCCCCTTCGAGGATGGACGCCCCACCATTGTAGGCCCCCAGGTTTGGAGCAACTTCTTTGCTCCTGTCGAGACCCACGAAGTCGGAGATTGGGGTCGCCACACGGCCCCGTTACGTAGCACAAATTCACACGTGGGACCCTAGACCTTCTCTTTTTGCTGTGCCGCTGGAGCTGGATCTCTATATGCGAGGGCCCTGGGGCCCGAAACGGGTCGTGGTCGCCCAGTGTGGAAAATCTGCGCGGCCAGGATCTCAGGGCGAGAGAGTTGGGCAGTACCAGGGGAGGTCACCGCCAGGGGGTCACCAGTTCTTCCCGAGGATCGTGGGTCCAGGATGGAAGGGCGAGGAGGTTTTTAGCCAGACGTTTGGGATTGTTTGCTGGGTCTCTGGAGTGTTCCTGGAGGGGCATTTGCGGGAGGAAGTGGCGATGCTCCCCGAGGAGAGGCCACCCCCCCCTCTTGCAGGGTTGCCCCCCCGTGGCACTGCCTGGGAGTGGCCCCATTCGCCGGAGTGACTTCTTTTGGGGGGGCGCGGGCCCGCTTGGCCAGCGGCCCGCGCCCTCGGGCCTGTGCCCCCCCCCCCCCCCGCCCGGCGCCCCAGATCCCCGAAGAGCTTCGCACTCAGAGGTCACCCCTGCCTGGGCCCACTCCCCGCGCGCAGCCGGCGGAGCGGGGTGCCGAGGACGACGCCCCAGCGGGCGAGACCGACGCCGAGGCGGCGAGCCCTCGGCCGAGGAAGGAGGCGAGGAAGGAGGCCGACCTGCGCGACGACTCGCAGGGCGGGGGCTCGCAGAAGCGCCCCCCCGCGACGCCCTGCTCCGCGGACACCCAGCAGGCCGCCTCGTCGTCCTCCGCGGCCGCGCAGGACGAGGGGGCGGAGGCCATCGGCAGCCCCTACGCGAAGGCCGGGAGCTGCCAGGAGTGTCGCTGGCCCCGGGTGCCCCCAGGATGTCCAGGGAGGCCCCCGCGGCCTCCCCTGAGATCCCGGCGACTCCGTGGCTTCGAGCCGGGCGTTTTCGCTCCGTTCCGGGCCCCGGGACCCTCGCAGATCGATCTGGCCCCAGAAGTGACGCAGACAGACGGGGTCCGGGGGTCCTGTCGTGATGTGTTGCGATGTCGCCTTTTTTTTGCTGGCAACCCCGCATCCCGGGTCCAGGGCGCCCTCCCACGAGGCCCCGAGGGCCCCTCGCGAAGACCAGACGTCCCCGAGGGGCTCACGCGGCGGCGCGTAGGCTCCTCCAACAGGGCGTGGGCGGGCGCGTCCGCGGAGGAGGGCCAGAGCTCGGGCAGGGGGGACTCCCAGGGGCTCTCCCGAGTGGCGCGGGAAGCTCTGTCGGAAGCCCTGGGCCAGGGCCACTTTCGCCCCGAGGTCCGACGCTGCCGACTGCGACGTCGCCAGACGTGGCCACCGGAGCTCTGGACCCCGCTTGTCTCGGAGGTTGATGGACCTCCTACCCTGACACGTCGATGAGTGAATTGGCCGTTGTCGATTCGCGAGGGGGCATCGCGGCCGTTATTCTTGCGGGTCCAGGTCCGTCGGTTTCGGCCCTAGGCCGTTTTCACTAAAGGGAGGTTTACTAAAGGGAGGTGTGTCCACCGCCGATTTTCCTCGAGTCGGACTGATCCATGAGGGATTCGGGGCCCGAAGCCCAGCAAAATCGCCCAGCTTGAGAAAATGCGACGCCATGACGTCAGTGTTCTACCCCCCCCCCTTGGACGAGTCATGCAACTGTTGCAGATCGTGTCGAAGAATCGTCTGGCGGACTTCCCTGGGGATGCTTTTCATCTGGGGTCCGTTCCTGACGGTCCTGGGGCCCGAAAACGGATCCCCGAGGCAACAACCTACGAAAAACCGAAGGCGATGAACACACATTTATGTATGATTGAAGCGCATTGCTTTTCCAGGGCAGTATGCCCTGACTCTCCACCTTGCGCACCTTCCGACCAGCAGGTGGCTGATTCAGTGATCGTCTCCAGGGGCAACACATGGATAAGCAGAAACTCTCGGAGTTCCGCGCGGACATCTTGGACCTGTGGGGCCCCACCCCCTGGTGCGCGGAGCCAGGCGGGGGCGGCGCCTGAGGCGCCTCCAGGGGGATCCAGCGCTGATCCAAGAAATCCGTGCGGATCTCGGAAAGTGTATGTTCATGCCGTTGTGTTTGTCCCTCGAGACGTTCGCTGAATCAGCCATCTGCTGCTGGGAAGGTGCGGAAGGTGGGGAGGCAGGGCACACCGCCCTGGAAACTAGGAGATCGACCACAACATGGATTTACCCCGGAATTGTTGTTCCTCGACCCTCTAAGAACTACGTAGCATGCTCCGTAGGAATACAGCACATTGTTATGTTTGTTCGTAGACTCGGCGAACAATAACCATGTGTTGGGTGTATGTAGTAGATTTCTTACTCGACGTGTAGCAGCTCCCGAGAAGGTGGCCAAGCTGCGGGTCAGCCCCTCGTCGAGCCCGCACTCGATGCGGCTGAACGAGCGGCCCGAGCTCTGCCAGATCTGCTGCAACGATGTCCCCGTGCAGCACGCCGTGCGGCTCGGCTGCGACCACGGCTGGTACTGCTCCCTCTGCATGGCCGCCGGGGCGCAGAAAGTGGCATGAGCCCTGAGATCCGGGGCGGTGCATGTTTTGCACCACGGGTGTGTTCGCCTGGCTTCGGGCCCGGGGACCCTCACAGATCGATCCGGCTCGAAGGGTGGTGCAGAAAGATTGGGTCTGGTGCTCCTGTTTTGATGTTTTGCGATGTTGCGTCTTCCTGCGACGTCGGATCTCAAGGGAGACCCTCTCGCGTCGCGAACAAGGTCACGAAGAGTCGCGAAGAGCGGTTTTTGTATATGTTCAGCCTCTTGGGGCCCCCGCTGGGCCCCAGGACCGTCAAAGAACAGCTCAGGATGAGAAGCCAGTCTTCGTGAGTGGATCGAGACCTCTGGGGGTCGACAAGGGGAGAGCGTGATGTCGTCGGGAGTTTTGGGAACGACATAGGCGTAAACTCTTGGAGGTCCGCGCGGATTTCTCCTGGATCGGCGCGGGACACCCCTCCCCAGTGCCAAAGGGGGCAGCGCCAGGGGCGGCGCCAGGGGGGCCCCAGCGCCGATCTAAGGACTCCTGGCGGAGCTCCAGCAGTCGCTGCTCGCAGACATCCTCCGACGTGGTTTTCTCCATCCGCGGCCCCAGAGGTCCCGACCGCTTCCCCGGGGAGAGTTTTAGGCCCAGGTCCGTCTCTGCTGGCCCTGAGGCCCGACAGCGCGGCCCCCGAGGCCGCAACGAGGGAAAAGCGCCGCGATTGAAGCAATCACATCGTTGGAGGTCTTGCCGATCGGCGCGGGCCTGCGTACACCCCCCCCCCTCCCCCCCCATGGAGTAGATCTTGGCTGTTTTGGGGGCGCCCGTTTCGAGCAGGTGGAGCCTCTCCCCCGTAGGAGGCACGGACCCAGGCAGTCGCACCAAGCCGAGGTCCAGAGCCAGACCCCCCCTCTCCGCCCAATGTCGAAACGCCGAATCAGAAAACGCTCACGAGGTCTGGCTTTGTGCCGTCGTCCCGCCCTCCAGGTCAGGCACACGGAGGCCCGCCTCTCCGTCGGCGCGGCCAGCGTGACCTGCCCGCAGTGCCTGGCCCCGCTGGCGGAGCGGGACCTGAGGAGGATGGTGCCGGACGAGCTGCTGGAGCGGCTGCTGGCGCGGAGCTCGCCACGAAGCCAGCGGGTCCTGTGTTTTCCCACGGGGCAGAAACAGAGCACGCGAGCCGGGCTTGCGGAGCGCTGCGCAGGTTCCTTGGATCTGCGCCGAGAGCTCACGGCGGCGCTTTTGGCGCCGTCCTTGGCCGGGCAGGAGGGGGGTCCAGCGCAGACTCAAGGAATTTCGCGCGGGCCTCCGAGAGGGCGCTTTCGCCCAGGCAGGGTCTGGCCCAGGGATCATCACATGCCTTTGAGGATCGAAGGACCGAGGATCGAGGATAACAAATGGCCTCCCTGCTGTCGAAGATCGAAGGGGTTGGCATTTTTTCCGCGGCTGAAGGGTGGCGGAAAGGTCGGCGGAAGGAAAACGAGGCCGTCTCCGCCGACGGAAGCCAGCGGAAGGGCGGCGGACGGCGGCGGAAGTAAACGATTCGCCCCCGAGAGATGAAAACGTTTTGGGTTCAGGGCTTCCGGAATCGGCCACACGTCGACCCATCTCGAGACATGCCTCAGACAGAGATGGGGTCCAGCTCCGGCCGAGCTTCTGCCTCCCAAGGTGTTTTTTTCGCCACATCGGATCTCAGGGGGGTTCCGGGGTTGTTCACCGTTTTCGTACTCTCGGGGCCCCTCCCGGGCGCTGGGGCCGTCAGAGGCGTGCCCAGGACGAAGAGATTGCCCCATGGGGCAGCGCCCTGGGGTCCAGGACCCGTTGCCCCCAGGGCCCGCTCGCTTCCTGCCAAGGATTGAGTCGGGCCTGTCCCTCTACAGGAGGAATCTTCAAACATATCTTTAGTTACAAAAGTTAATATGGGGACGATGTTTCGACTATCCTTGACACTTTCTGAATATGGTTTAACTATTTGGAATTTTGCCTCCAGAATCCGACTGTTGGGGGACATTCCCGACCTATGCCAAGGAGCTTGGAGCAGGCCGTCTCGTCGGTGGCCGACCTCTGGGCGTGCCCCACGCCGAACTGCCCGATGCGCGTCGCACTGGAGGAGTACGGGCCCCAAGAATCTACTCCACTTCCACGTCGATTCCTCCTCCCTCCACTACCCTCTTCTTCCTCTCCTCCTTCCTGGGGGAGGGAGGGGGGGGGAGGGAGGTGGTGGTGGTGTATATGGTTGGGCCCCGCAAGGAGGGGGAGGAGCCGAAGCTGAAGTGCACGCAGTGCGGGAAGTCTTCGTGCCTCCGCTGCGGCGCGCAACCGTGGCACAAGGGGCTCACTTGCCAGGAGCACGCCGAGAAGATGGGTGCTCGTAACAAGAAGGCCAGGAAAGACGAGGCCTTGCTGCAGCAGTGGATAGAGGAGACCGGCACTAAGCAGTGCCCGACGTGCCGGATGGGGGTGACGAAACAGAACATACGGAACCAGCAGACGCAGTACTCGGAGTGTCACAAGATGCTCTGCCGTAACTGCAACACGAAGTTCTGCTTCAAGTGCCTCGCGGTGCTGACGGACAGCTACACGTGCGGCTGCACGATCAACGCCCACGGCTTCATCGACCCGCACACCGGCAAGCGCATGAACCACCTGAAGGCGGCCCGAGGCAGGCCGGCCGGCAAGGCTGCTGCGAAGTGCAAGGCTGGGTGGCCACATGCAAGCCCTGCCCCACCAACCAACGATTTTTCTAAGGGTGGAGGTGGGGTAGGTTTCGCACGTGGCCTCCCAAAGGCGAAGGGCTGAGCCGGGTCCGAGGATCCGGGGCAGCCTCACAGGGGGGGAACTGCCTTCTACCCCTCTCTTCCGACCTCCTGGGGCCCAGCCAATGTGTCGAGCCAATTCGTGCTAGGACAGATCCCGCGCAGTTCACCCGAGGAGTTTCTACACGTTGCTCTCGTTGTTGGGTGCATGACTTGAGGTTTTGTGGGGGGCGTTTTCGTGAGCTCTTGGCGGCTTCCGAGCCTCGGGGTGCGTTCCAGCGGCTACGCCGAGGGCATTCCGGGGGTGCACGAAGCATCCCGAGCGGCCGCCGGAGACCCGAAAGCCACCAGGCGTCGCGCAGGGGTCGGGGGCAACGTTGCTTACAGTCGGACCGAAGTATAAGCTCGAGGTCGTTTCGGGGAGGGTACCCTATTCTCGTGTTTAATGGAGATTATTGCGCATCCTCAGGAGCGCGACATACGCATGCGTAGTTTTCGTTTCTTGGAAATGCGTTTCCCCCAGGCCAGGTATCTGGACTAAGGACTCTGTACTAATAGAGCTCCTGCTCGTGCTGCTGAAGGCATCGATCATCTGATCTTTGTTTGGGAAAGTCTTCAGCAGAGACCTCATCCGCTCCTGCAGTCCCAATCCAGTGGTTGTGGTGGTGGCCATAGGGAGGGGCAACAATTATCCATTCGAAGGGTGCAACCATATGCAGCTGCGAGTATCGCGAAGCAGGTGAAACGAATTAGAGGGCCACGCAACGTGTGAGGGGTGTGCCGAATAGAGCGCGGTGGCGCCATGCGAACCCTCCCACTGGGACCTTCGCTGCAGTTCCTTTTGGGATCACGAACTGCGTGAGGGGTGCGAACCCTTGTGCTGGGGCCTTCGGTGGAGGTTCCCATGGGGCCACGAAACGTGTGAGAGGTGTGCCGAATTGGATGCGGCGATGCCATGCGGAAGCTGCCGCTGGGGATGGGGCTTTCGGTGGAACCCAATGGAGCCACGAAGCGTGTGAGGGGTTTGCCGACTTGGCCGCGGGTGCGCCATGCGGACGCTGCGGGGGGAGAGCGAGGAAGCGAGGAATCCATATAACAAATGAGAATGCGTTTTAGATGTATCAAGGGTTTTAATGAGGAGGAGGAGGAGGAGGAGGAGGAGGAGGAGGAGGAGGAGGAGGAGGAGGAGGAGGAGGAGGAGGAGGAGAGGAGGAGAGGAGGAGGAGGGAGGAGGGATACTTCAGGACCGGTGTAGATGCTCCTGGGTCGAGGGTTCACAGGCCCTCCCTCTCCCAGGTGGGATGGGCCCCATGGTTCCACAGGCCCCCCTTCGGTGACATGTGGGGGGGGGGCCACGACGACGACGACGCCGACACCGACGCCGACGACGACGACCACGACAACGACAACTACGACGACGACGACGTCGACGACGACGAGGACGACAACGACGAAGACGACGACGACGACGCCGACGACGACGTCGACGACGACGAGGACGACAACGACGAAGACGACGACGACGACGCCGACGACGACGACGAAAACGACGACGACGACGACGACGACGACGACGACGACGACGATACTACGATGCCGACGCCGACGCCAACGCCGACGTCGCCGCCGCCGCCGCCGACGCCGCCGCCGCCGCCGACGCCGACGCCGACGCCGACGCCGACGCCGACGCCGCCGCCGACAATGACGACAATGACGACGACGACAGCGACCGCGCCGACGTGGACGCCGACGCCGACGCCGACGACAACGCTGACGCCGACGCCGACGCAGACGCCGACGACAACGCTGACGCAGACGCCGACGCCGACACCGATGCCGATGCCGATGCCGACGCCGACGCCGACGCCGACGCCGCCGACGCCGACACCGCCGCTACCGACGACGACGACGACGACGACGACGACGACGACGACGACGACGACGACGACGACGACGACGACGACAACGGGGATGGCGACGAGGGCGCCGAGCTACCCCTCACTCACGGAGGGAGGGAGGGGGGGTGGACCGGCACACTCCACCACGCCACGCCCACAGGGCCACGACCACAGCCGGGGGGGAGCATCCCATTTGCGAGGCCTTCGCGAGGTTCAAGGACGCACCAATCCACCAGGGGGGGGGGGCAGGCCTGAATCCCATCTGCATTAGGGCGTTGGGGGAGGGGGGCGTGGGGGGCAACCCTGGACCATATATCAGAGCGAAGGTACCGAACGGTCATTCATTGTCCCTGGGTGCGTGGCTCTAGTGGGGATCAATGGTGAGGATTCTGCTTGTTGCGTTGAATAGTCATTTTCAAAGAATAATTATTGCTGATCTCCGGAAACGGTTTCGCGCGCTCTCGCCTCGACGCCGGCTGCATTTTCTCTGAAAACGAGGCTCCCGCTCGAGCGTTGCCTTGAGCCTAAATGTGGGCCCTTGGAGGCCCAGCTACGACAACAACGGCTCCCGCTCGATACTTTCTCAAAGTTTACCCCAGGAAACCCTGGCCAGAGAGGCCCCCGAGCTCAGGAACGGTGCTCTCGCTCGAGACTTCCTCTCAATTCAATTAATTTGGCGGAGGCCCAGCCACGACGACAAGGGCTCCTGCTCGATATTTCCTCACGATTTACTCCGAGAGCCCCTGGCCAAGAAGGCCCCCGAACTCAGGAACGGCGTCCTCGCTTGAGACTTTCCCGTAATTCCGGCAAGTTGGTGGAGGCCCGGACACGGCGACAAGGGCTCCAGTTCGATATTTTTCCATCGGTCTTCCGGAAACCCCTGGCCAGAGAGGCCCCCGAACTCAGGAACGGCGCTCTCGCTCGAGATATCTTCGCACTTCAGTCAGTGGCCGACAAGGAAGAGATTCCCCCCGAAAGGGGGTGCAATCGAAGACGAAGTGGGCGGGTGTCGAGGGTTGGTTGCTATTATTGTTGTTGTTGTTGTTGTTGTTGTTGTTGTTGTTGTTGTTGTTGTTGTTGTTGGTGGTGGTGTTGTTGTTGTTGTTGCTGAATTCTCATTTCTGAAGAAAAATTATTGTTGATCCCCCCGTCCGGTGCACATTGTTTTTTTCGAGTGCAGTGCCCTTCCCGGGGCTCGCACCTTTCTTTATCAGAGAAAGTCTTGAGGGTCAAACTGCGTTGTTGGCCCCTGGTTTACAACAACAGCGGCTCCCGCCTGATGCTGCCTCACAATTTATTGAAGAATCGCGCTCTCGCTTGGGACTTCTTTGCAAATTACAACCAGGTCGCGGCTCCCGCTTGATACTTCTTCACATTTTATTGAGGAATCGCGCTCTCGCCCTTCGTGGCCCCGCGGTCGCCCTTCGTGGCCCCCTCTCTGCCCTTCGTGGCTCCGTTTCTGTCCTCAGCGGCCCCGTCGCTGCCCTCTGTGGCCCCGCATTATATGCCCTTCGTGGGCCCCCGCTCGCAGTCGCCCGACGTATTCCCTTCGTAGCCCCGCTGTCGCCCTTCGTGGCCCTCTCGCTGCCCTTCGTGGCCCGCTTGCTGCCCTCAGTGGCCCCGCTGTCGCCCTTTCTGGCCCCATACACGAATGCCCTTCGTGGCCCCCGCTCGTTCGCGCCCGTCGTGGTCCCATATGCATGCCCTTCGTGGCCCCGCTGTCGCCCTTCGTGGCCCCCTCTCTGCCCTTCGTGGCCCCGTTTCTGCCCTCAGCGGCCTCGTCGCTCTGTGGCCCCGGATAAATTGCCCTTCGTGGCCCCCGCTCGTTCGCGCCCTTCGTGGCCCCATACGGATGCTTTTCGTCGCTTCGTTGTCGCCATTCGTGGCCCCCTCGCTGCCCTTCGTGGCCCACTTTCTGCGCTCAGTGGCCCCGCTGTCGCCCGTTCTGGCTCCATATATGTATGCCCTTCGTGGCCCCCGCTCGTACGCGCCCGTCGTGGCCCGATATGCATGCCCTTCGTGGCCCCGCTGTCGCTCTTCGTGTCCCCTCCCCTCCCTTCCTCCGATCCCTTCGTCCTCATTCTCCCCCGTTTTCTGTTACCCTTCGTTTTCAAGGGCTTCACCCACCACACGTGGCAGGGAATGAATACACCCCCCACAAGTGGGTACGATCGAAGACGAAGAGGGCGGGTATCCAGGCTTTGGGATATGCATATTGCATGGCACGCGAGCAGATAAGAGTGAACAGTCTTAAACTGATTGTTGTTGTTGTTGTCGTCGTCCCCCCTGCGACCAACCCCGCGACCCCCCCCCGCGACCCACCCCGCGACCCACTCGGCGACCCACCCCGCGACCCACCCCGCGACCCACCCCGCGACCCAGCCCGCGACCCACCCGTGACCCACCCCGCGACCCAGCCCGCGACCCACCCGCGATTCACCCGCGACTCATACGCGACTTACCCGCGACCCAACCGCGACCCGGCCCGCGACCCACCCTCGACCACCCGCGACCCACCCTGCCATCCACCCACATTGTTTTAACGAAAAAATCGGCGCCTGCGGCGGGTGAAATACACAATTTGTAAAAGTTAGTCGCCTGCGAAGGGCTTCTTCAGAGCCTCGCAGACTGACGACGCCCTCGCCGCCCCCTCACTCTTATCCGCAACTGCGGGGTGCTACGTGTGTGTATATATATATATACACGCATACATCTTGTACGTGTGTACACACCGCCCCCCTGAGGTCCCAGGACATCGCCTCCCCAGGCGGTGGATATGGACAAAGTTTCCCATCTCGCCGAGGGTTGAGGCAGGCTCCCCTTGCCATTGCCCTTCGAAGGAGGCGTTCCGCACCTGAGCGCGGGTAATCTGCGACAGGCACCCCGGCGCGCCCCAACGGCTGGCGCGGGCCCCTGCGAAGGGCTTCGCTTGCCTACTGAGTAGGCGACTGCCTCTGCTTGCGCGGGCGGAGTGTACAGCAGCGCGAGGAGGAGGAGGCGGAGGGGCAGGAGGAGCAGAAGAAGGAGGAGCAGAAGGATGAGGAGGAGGAGGAGGCAGAGTAGGAGGAGGCGGAGGAGGAGCAGAGGAGAGCGAGTTGAGACAGCGGTAGTCGGCCTTCGGGCTGGCCCCTCGTCGCCACGGCTGGGCGCAGTCGGGAGGATCGTTCCGATTAGACACTTGGAGGGATCTGGGGGCCAATTCTGAATTGCCGTTGTCTCAACTTGCCCTCATCCGAGAGAAGGGGGAGGATGAGGAGGAGGAGGAGGAGGAGGAGGAGGAGGAGGAGGAGGAGGAGGAGGAGGAGGAGGAAAAAGACAAGGGGGAGGAGGAGGAGGAGGAGGAGGAGGAGGAGGAGGAGGAGGAGGTTGACCAGTGTAAACCCAAGACCCACCACTGATAATGTTATAAGCCCTCCCTTCAAGTTCCCCTCTTCATAGACTCCTGCACGGAAATGCCCCGTTGGAAGCCAACCGTGGATTGGAAATGTGTTAGAGCACCATCCCTGGGACGTCATCGCTGCGAATCACCGTGACTGTTGCGTCTTGACGGTCCTGAACCGTGCCAGAACATCATTCTCAGGACTTCAACATGTGAATCGACGTGATTGTTGCGCCCTGACATTCCGACATCGCACCACAATCTCACTGCTTCGGTTGCTAGCCACGCGAATCCTTGAAGCTCCTGCAAGCTCTCAAGACGAAGGTGCGCGGCGCCTAGGCGAGAGCCACGTGTGCAGAATGGACCGCCCTCCGCCCGTGGAACTTGCACATTTGTTTAGGACGAGTGTGCGAGGCGTTGAAGCGATAGCCACAAGCGGACCGCCCTCCGTCCGTGAAGCTCTTGCACATGTCAAGCTGCAGGATCGTAAAGGGTGGGGAATTCCCAGTCGAAGCGCCCAGCCCGCCCTTTCGATTGGCCTTGGGGTGCGACAAGGAGGAGTTTCTCACACGGAAAGGGAATTGAGGAGAAGGAGGAGGAGGAGGAGGAGGAGGAGGAGGAGGAGGAGGAGCCAGAGCCGGAGCCGGAGCAGGGGCAGGAGCAGGAGCAGGAAGAGCAGGAGCAGGAGCAGGAGCAGGAGCAGGAGGAGCATGAGGAGCATGAGCAGCAGGAGTATGGAGGAGAAGGTTGGGGAACAAACCATCGGATACACATACATATGTTTGGAGCTTCGCGCGTATGTCTTAGGTCGGCGCTGGAACCCCCTGGCGGCGCATCCAGCGCAACCTCTGGCGCGCTCTGGCCGCCAGGGAGTGAGGCTCAGCGAAGTTCCAAGCAATCTGTGTGGAGATCCTTTTTCTGTGTTTTTGCCTATTTGTTTCCATAGGAGGAGGAGGAGGAGGAGGAGGAGGAGGAGGAGAGGAGGAGGGAGGAGGAGGAGGAGGAGGAGAGGAGGAGGAGAGCGGAGGAGGAGGAGAGGAAGGAGGAGGGGAGGAGGAGGAGGAGGAGGAGGGAGGAGAGGAGGAGGAGGGGGAGGGGGAGGAGGAGGAGGAGGAGGAGGAGGAGGAGGAGGAGAGGATGAGGAGGAGGAGGAGGAGGAGGAGAGGAGGAGGAGGAGGAGGAGGAGGAGGAGGAGGAGGAGGAGGAGATAGGAGGAGAGGAGGAGGAGGAGGAGGAGGAGGAGGAGGAGGGAGGCGGGGGAGGGGGAGGAGGAGGAGAGGGGGAGGAGGGAGGGAGGGAGGAGGAGGAGGAGGAGGAGGAGGAGGAGGAGGAGGAGGAGGAGGAGGAGGAGGAGGAGGAGGAGGAGGAGGACACACAGAGGAGGAGAGGAGGAGGAGGAGGAGGAGGAGGAGGAGGAGGAGGAGGCACACAGCCATCTCGCTCAATTGAGGCCCAGGTCGGGTTCGGCACGGGCTCGGTGGTCCCTCAGATCATCATGCCTGCGCTCCCCCGCAGCAGTGCCAGCTCGCCCCCCCCCGCTGGTTGAGGAGCGAAGCCCCCCCAAAGCGGGGGAGCGCCCCTCCAGAAAGGGGCTCCGCCGCTCCCCGGAGGCTCGAGCCTTGACTCTGAGAGGGGGCGGGGGGGCTTCGCTCCTCTCCGCGTTCCCCTTGGTAATCTCTACAGGTTTCTAGTTTGAGCCCCCCCCCCTCCCCCGTGTCTCTCGGCGGTGACTGGGACGGGTCCTCAACCCTCTCCCGGCGCGCGCAGCGACATGGGATCTCAGCGTCTCTCTGTTGCTGGGCGAGCTGGATCATGTTGGGATGCTGGGGGGGTTCTCTCGGACCGAACGAAAGGAAGGGATAGGGAAAGGGGGCTTACGAAGTCTGCTGCTTGCAGCTGGTTTCGGCCCCGCCGCCGGGCCCATTCCTCGATTCGTGAGGCGCCTCCCGGCGCCGTGATGCGCCACCAGGCGCCGATCCTTTCTCCCAGGGCATGATGCCCCCTGGGCTTGCCCTGCACAGGAGGCGGGGGGACGGACCGGGCCGCACCAGGCCGAGGCTGCTGCTCCGGTCGCCGGGCCGAAGTCGTTGCTGCCTCTTCCGCCGGCGAGAGCGCGGCTCGGGCCCCTGCGCTGCAGGCTCGGGGGGCCCCGTCGGTGCTCAGATCTGTTACCAGCCTGGAACAGATCCCTATCCCTATGCTGGGCATCTCCTCATCACGATGCCAATCTCAGGGATTCCCCTATTGTTTGAGGGCGCATCCCTAAGATTGTCATCGCTTTTTGGCGTGTCAATCTTAGGGATAGGGATACGTTCGAGGCTGGTAAATCTGGGTGCCGTTCCTTGTGCCCGGCGCGGGCTCCGTGCGGACCCGGCGCGGACTTGGCGTTGGACTCGACTCGGTTGTGACAAGCCCGGCGTGGATTCGCCGCGGACTCGGCGCGGGTGGGAGCGCGCCGGGACAGACGAGGTCCCCCGAAGATGCAGCATGACCCATCAGCACCATTCCCCGCCCATCCTTTTGGAGCGCTTTCTTTCTGCGTATTGCCCTTCCTGTCGGCATTGTCACGTGAGGGAAGACATAAGCTCAATCGCTTCGCTCATTCCGCCGGCTAAGACTTACATCACTGTTGACATGTGGGTAGGTTGGGAAGTGCCGCGGTTAAGTGTGTAAGGCCACGAGGGATCTCACACATGCACGCGGACGAAGCGTTGATTTCTTTGAAGCCAGGGGGCGATATCGCGTGAGAAGGGGGAGCTTCTGGGAGATTCATGAAGACTCTGCGTAGTTTGACTTCGGATGCTGATTGTGGAAGCTCCAAGGGCTTTCTTCTGGCTCGCGAGACCATGCCGTTTTTTCGTGAAGCAGTTGTGACCACGTGTGTGGGGCCACCCTGGGTTGTAATACCCAGTGCTCTGTGCTCTGAGGCGTGTCTGCATTTTCTTTGCGCGTTTTCGAAACTCTGTTGTGGCGCTGCTGGGGTCACTGGCTCGGCTCTCTCTTCCAGCTCTTCCCGTCTCCGCTTAGAGCTCTTTTGGACGACACTGAAGTCATTCTGAGACCCCAGAAGCTTACATCCAACGCAGAAGAGAGCAATCCAGTATCATTGAACAAAGTTTACATGGAAGCTGGAAAACGTGATTCGGGCCGGCCCTTCCACTCATTCCAGCCCTGGCCAGTTACTTTTTTTTCAGTCCTGGCGACCGCATCCATACTGTTTCGGGCTCGTTTCCAGCCCTAGGCTGGCCACTTTCACTTTCACTGATTTTCCGACTTCCTTCTCCGGCTTCCCTGTATTTGTTTGAGTGATATTAGCCTCCTGGCGGCCTCTTGATGGTTGTCTTGGACCATCCTGGCGCCTCTCCTGGCGCCTCTTCTGTGGAACCTGGTGCCCTAGTGTTCTGTGAAAGTTCTCTGGAACATCTCCTTGGGCTCTATTTGCTGTGAGTCGTCGGTGCCCTCGTAGAGCCTTTCCAGCCCCAGCTTGCAACCATCTGGAGCGATGTTGGAGCCCTCTCTAGAGGCTCGAGGCGTACATAGGAGGCAACAAGGCGAGAACGCCGAAATCACCGACAAACCATCGTTTTTTTTTGAAATCAGGACATGCTCGAAGCCTCGTCGGGGGCTGTCTTGGGCCACCTCGGGGGGCTAGCTTGGGGCAGCTCGGGGCTGCTTTGGGCTGCCTTAGGGCCTGCCACCCACGAGTCCCCGCTCCTGGGCCGCTGTCGGGTTCTCCCAGAGCTCTTTGAGGCGCTCTTGGGATTATTCGGAGCCTCCTCCTCCTCCTCCTCCTCCTCCTCCTCCTCCTCCTCCTCCTCCTCCCTAGTCTCCTCCTCCTTCCTATTCTCCACCTCCTCCTCCTCCTCCTCCTCCTCCTCCTCCTCCTCCTCCTCCCCATCTTCCTCCTCCTCGTCCTCCTCCCCCCTCTTGCTCATCCTCCTCCTCCTCCTCTTCTCTCCTCCTCCTCCTCCTCCTCCTCCTTCTCCTCCTCCACCTCCTCCTCCTCCTCCTCCTCCTCCTCCTCCCTCTTGGAGCTTGTCCCTGCCTCACTTGGAGCCATGTTGGGTGATGATTGAGCGACAGCGAGGCCCGAGAAGCCCATTTGAAGGAGCGAGACGAGAACACCGACATCTTTGACAAAAACAGCAATTTTTGTTGAGCAGCCGTTCTACTTACTCTGATTATGGCCTTTGGGGGGCTAAATGGGACCATCTCGGATCAACTCGGTGCTTCCTTGGGCCTGCCATCTTTTGGTCCTCGTTCCTGAGCTGCTCTTGGGCGGTCCTGGGACTCTCTTGGGGTTCCAGATGACCGCGTCCAGGAGCAGAGCCATCTCTGCTCCGGCCCCGCCAGGACCTTGTTAGGCTGCTTCTCTTCTGGGGGCCCCCAGGGGCCGCCGCGCGCGCGAAGTATTATACAAACACTCTACACGTCCTGCTTCTTACCTGAGATGTCAGCACGCAGGTGGCCCCTTGGGCTGGCGAATACTTGCGGGCTGCGTTTCGGTATAGACTTAGAGATCCCTGCCCGGCCGCGTTCGGCTCGCTGGTCTGCCCGAATTCGCACCAGCCAGAGGTGGAGTTCGCCGCCACCGCTGCACGCCGA